CATACTATTCTTCCAGAGGGCCTGACATGGATTCCAAGTCCCCATGTCAGGCAGCTCACAACTGCCTGTAACTCCAACTCCAGGGATATCTGACACCTCTGGTTTCTGTGGGTAATTACTTGAGTGTGCACATACCCCCCCCCCCCCACATATACACACTTTAAGACAATACAAAAAAACCTAAAAAAAAATCTTGGGCAGATGAGTAAAAGTGCTTACCTGGTGATCCAAGTTGGATCCCCTGGAACCATGTAGTACAAGGAGAGAACTGACTTCAGCACGTTGACCTCTGACTGCCACATGCATGCTGTGACACTGGGACACACGTATGCCACACACACGAACATATATAAGCACGTCTTTAGTCTTCTTTTTAAAAAGGACCTGTCTCTTTTCAAATGAATGACTCTCCCCACAAAGCCTAGTCCTCCCCGCCCTGCACTTCAGCTCTTTTCTGGGGCTATTCCTCTCAAAGGATCATTGTTTGTTTCCTGGGTCTGGGGCGCGCACGTGTGTGTGTGTGTGTGTGTGTGTGTGTGTGTACGTGCGTGCGTGTGTGCGTGTGTGTGTGCGTGTGTGTGTATGTGTGTGTATGCGTGTGTGCATGTGTGTGTGCGTGTGTGTGTGTGCGTGTGTGCATGCGTGTGTGTGTGTGTGTGCGTGTGACAAAGTCTCATGTAGCCCAGGCTGGCCCCGATCCTGTGAGCTGGGATTCTATGTGTGCACCACCACACTTGGCCCACAGTTCGGCCTTGCTAGTCTTTTCGCTTGATCCATTGGCCCAGATTCTGCTCAGACAGGAGGTAGCCCTGTATTCAGGAAGCCTGCTTGAGGCTGGGGTGGGGCTTCCCACTGGTTATTTTTTACACCCTCTTTGTCCTCTCCTTCCTGCAGGCCACAGCGTAGAACTTTCTCCAGCAGCTCCCAACCCTCCACTCAAGGCTGCCGTGGCAATCAAGCTGACAGGCTTGTTCCAGGGCTAGACTGCACCGCATCCAGGGCGCTGTGAGCTCTAGAAATGGCAGCCCTGGTTTCTGTAGAGTTCATAGCCAAACCCCAGACCTGGCTCACAACACTTGGCAGGATCCTGAGTGTTAGCTCTGGTAGCTGCGCAGTTCTTATCCTGCGGAATGCCCTCAGCTCTGCAAGCCTTGGACTCTCTGAAAGGCCCTTTATCTTGCTACTCTCCTGCCCCTCGGCAACCACTAGGCCTAAAGGGAAGGCACCGTGTCCTGTCTGCCATTCTGTATGTCTGTGGACAACAATCCCCTTGGCAAACACATAGAACTGAAGACTGTCTTCTCCAGATAACTTTAATCAGCCTCTCTCACTCCGCTGGATCCTCTCCTGCGTCTACCTTCCAGAGGGGGCTAATATTCTCCCTAGCCCCGCTTTCCAGGCACCGCGCAACCCTCCCCCTTCACATTCTCCCACTGTCCCACGAATATTATATGATCCTGTTTAGGAGTCTGTCCGCAGTTCAGAACTGCCAGCCAAGCGTCTTGTCCTGGTCTCCTTGCTACCTGTCTTCTAGATCGGACCATAGTGGGAGAGGAATCCCCAAACCATAACAGCCTTTCTTTTTCCCTTCCCATTAGGAAACCCCATGGCTCAAGGGTGCGTCTCCGACCTTCCTCCACAGGCGCTGAGGGCCCTGAAATCACCCTGCCTACCTTTTACTAAAGGAAAAGCTGAGACCAGAGAACATGGATGCTGGACCTTAGGCCAAAGCCACAGTCCCTTGCTTGTGTCCCGCGCTGCCTTAGGTATGTGAGAGCTGTTCCGTGGGAGAGGGCGACTCCTGGTGGTGATGAGAAGAATGACGGCCTGGAGCTCAGTTCACAGGACTCAGGCTGACGGAGGAAGTAGGTCACTGAACCTGAGGCCCTAATTATCAAGAATGTAAATAGAGGAAAGTCCCTTCTCGAGGGGAGACTCTCTCCTCACCCACTGTCCTTAGTCATGTTCTCCATAATGACTTAATAACACGGTCCCGTGCTTTTAATTGGACCCTAAAGACTGGATCTTCAGGAAGCAAACACAGTCATTATCAAATGGTTTTGGGCACCTGGCAAGCCACACAAGCTTTTACAATTCAGGTATCAGGTGCTAAGTCCTATTAGAATGCAGGAGATTGCTTTCTAATAAGACTTCTAGACTCGCCATGACCTTGGGGTCCCAAGCACTGGGCCGGGATTCCGCAGTAGCCCGCTAGGCGGCGCCCCAGCCCACCGTGTCCCTTCCGGGAGCCCAGAATGCTCTTGCTCTGAAATGCATACAGCTCGCTGAGGAATGCCTGCTTGTACCGAATGATAAATGTCTGCCTCCAAATCTAAGGAAAAATTCTCTAACCAAGCATGGTGGTGCACAACAGTAATCCCAGCACCTGGGAGACGGAGACGAGTTCAAAGGCCGAGTTTTAATTGTTTTTGTTTTTATTTTTTGTTTGGTTTTCAAGACTGGGTTTCTCTATGTAATAGCTCTGACTGTCCTAGAACTTGCTTTGTAGACCAGGCTGGCCTCAAGCTTGCAGAGATCCGCCTGCCTCTGTCTCCCAAGTGTTGGGATAAAGGTGTACACCACCCGACTAGTTTCAGTATTTTAAAAATTGAATATAACTTGTCACTCCCAAGCTATAGCTGCGACACCTCCCTTCACCACTCCACCCCATGCTCCAGCTCCCTCTCCCTCCTTCTCCTTCCTGTAACAGGGTCTCTCAGGCAAGGGTACCTTGAGTTCAAGATTCTCCTGCCTCAGCCTCCCCGAGTTCTGAAGTCCCAGGCACGTACCACTGTTGTCAAAGGTGACTTTGAATCTCCTGATTCTTCTGCTTCCAACTCCCAAATCCTGGGATTACAGACGTGTTCCAGCATACCTAATTTATGGTTTTTCCTCAAAGGCTTTCATGCTATCTTAAAGCTTTACATGTTTTTATGAATGTTTTACAGAGATGGCTGAGTAGGTAAAGGTGTTTGTCTCCCAGGCCTGATTGCCTGAGGTTATTGACCAATGTGACAGAAGGAGTATTAATCCTTATAGGTGATCTCTGACCTCTACGTGGACAGGTGCCACAGTATGTGGTAAAGGTGTTTGTCTCCCAGGCCTGATTGCCTGAGGTTATTGACCAATGTGACAGAAGGAGTATTAATCCTTATAGGTGACCTCTGACCTCTACGTGGACAGGTGCCACAGTATGTGTGTGGACTTGTGCCTATGCACACACTCACACACTCAAGCAAATACATAATATAATACATTCACACACACACATACACAGTCTCATACTCCAACACACACTCACACACATGCACACACTCACACACTCAAGCAAACACATAAATATAATACATTCACACACACACAGTCTCACACTCCAACACACACACTCACACACATGCACACACTCACACACTCAAGCAAACACATAAATATAATACATTCACACACACACACACACACAGTCTCACACTCCAACACACACACTCACACACATGCACACACTCACACACACCCTGGGCAAATGGCTTAGTGGGTAAAGCTCTTGCTGTACAAGTATGAAGCTCTGAGTTTGAATTCCCAGAATTCATATTAAACTGTATGTGGCCAGGCGGTGGTGGCATACACCTTTAACCCCAACACTTGGGAGGCAGAGGCAGGCGGATCTCTGTAAATTCAAGGCCAGGCTGGTCCACAACTGTTTTGCAGAGAAACCCTGTTTCGAAAAACAAAACAAACAAACAAACAAAACCTGGATGTGGCCAGCCGCGTCTTACATATGCCTTTAATTCCCGCACTCGGCAGGCAGATCTCTGTGAGTTTGAGGACAGCCTGGTCTATATAATTTCAGGACAGCCAGGGCTACAGAGAGAGACTGGCTCAAAACAACAACAACAACAACAAATGCAGAGCGTGGCAGCACTGATGGTAATTCTACTGTTTCTATGGAGACAGGACGCAGAGGCGAGGACGTTCTGGACACAGGATCCAGCAAGGCTGAGGCAGGAGGGTTACTGCAATGTCAGCCTGGATCATATAAAGTTCAGGCTAGCCTGGGCTGCGGAGGGAGATCCTGTCCAAAGAAACAACCAACAAAGTGAGCCCTATGCATAACGTTTCATAATGAAAACCAAGAGATGAACAAAAGGGCAAACCTAAAGGAATGCTTTTTGAAAGATCTGTTTTAATCTTTTTTGTTTTTGTTTTGTTTGAGACAGAGTTTCTCTCTGTAGTCCTGGCTGTCCTGGGACTCACTATATAGACCAGGCTGGCCTCAGACTCACTGAGATCCGCCTGCCTCTGCCTCCCGAGTGCTGGGACTAAAGGCGTGCGCCACCACCACACAGCGTGTTTTATTCTTTTTTTTTTTTTTTTTTTTTTGGTTTTTCGAGACAGGGTTTCTCTGTGGTTTTTTGGAGCCTGTCCTGGAACTAGCTCTTGTAGACCAGGCTGGTCTCGAACTCACAGAGATCCGCCTGCCTCTGCCTCCCGAGTGCTGGGATTAAAGGCGTGCGCCACCACCGCCCGGCAGCGTGTTTTATTCTTGTGTACCTGTAGGTGTCTGTGTACAGGCGCCCATGGAGGCTGGAAAGGGACGTGCAAGCACCAGGAGCTGGAGTTACAGGCCACTACGTACAGCCCAGCGCCACTGCTCAGAAACAAACTCAGGTCTTCTAGAGGAGCAGCTGGTGCTCTTAACAGCTGAGCCATCTCTCCAGTCCTACTAAAGGAATTCTTTACGTCATGAGCATTTTATTTTGATAACGCTTTTGATTTCACTCCGGGCACTTTTAGAAGGCTGCCCCATTTGTGTTTCTTCATAGCCTTTCAAGAATTCAGAGCTACAATTCCTGCTTGACTCGCCTCCTGCCTCCCACATGCCATGGGACTTTAGGGATTGGCTAGGGTTTCACACAGGCGAGGTGAGCACTCTGCCCTGAACTCTAACCCATCTGTTAGTTCTTGAACCCAAGACCATGGCTAGGTGCCTCTGGATGCCACACCTCGCCCTTCTCCTGCTCTTTCCCCAGTCGCTGTTCATATAGAATCCCGCCATTTTGGCTATACTGGTGCCTTTTTTGCTCCTTAGGCATCTTGGTCTCCTGGATCTCTCCTCCCCCCTCTTTTCCCACAGCCTGGCTCAGGGTCATGCTCACTCTGGAATTTCCTGACGTCTCGGCCTGTTCTCTCCCTCATATCTAGAGTGGCCTTCTCCTCCACCATACCTAGGAGCGTCACGCCCTTCCTTTTCATTTCTTCTTTTCATCCACCATTCTTTCTGCGTGTTTGACTGTGAGACAGGAAGTGTTCCAGGCAGGCCTTAAACTTGAAATAATCTTGCCTCAGCCTCCTGAGAAACTGGAATTACAGGCCTGGCTGACTCAAAAATTTCTATGACAGCCCAAAAGAAAACAACTACAATAACACCCCCAACCAAAACTCAGCAGTAAAAATGAATTCTAACAGTGGGCGAACGGGCTCCTCAAAGCTAGGGACTGGAGCAATGGCTGTCCCCAAACTGTTACGGTACTTACCTCTCATCCCTAGCAAAGGGCTATTTAAAACCATGGCTTTTTCTTTCTTTCTTTCTTCCTTCCTTCCTTCCTTTCTTTCTTTCTTTCTTTTTCTTTTTGACAGTCTGGGACTGGCTGCTCCCAGGGCCCGCTGCCTGCCACCACATGGCCCGCTACCACCATTTGGGACCTACAGCATTTCTGCTGCCTACTGCCGCGGGGATCTTGCAGCATTTTTTTAAAAAAAAGAATAACACTTCATGTAGCCCAAGCTAGACCTGAATTCATGACCCTTCTGCTTCCCAAATGTTGGTTGTCTAACAAAGACTCAGAACTCTAGGAAGTCTCTGAAAAATTTCCAGGTCTAGATGGACATGCACAGGGACCACAGGAACCAATTAATATGAATTTTACCTTGCTACCAGGAGAATGTGGGCAGTCTACTGAGTTCCTTTAGGAGTTGTTTCTAATTGTTTCAAGACTAGCTGGAATATTTCCAGGAAGCAGCTGACCAAGAGTGAGATCTTTCTTAATAGGGTCATGGCTACACCTTCAGAGTCTGACTTCTGGATTGACCATCAGATATGGAGTGTAAAGACTAAAAATGGGGTGGGAGACAGAGTCCATGTGTTCCTGGCCACTGTGGTGTCATTGTTCCCTATACAGGTGTAACCTGAGTCCCCACATGGGAGCCAGCAATCAGCTGAGAAGACTTCAGGAGAGCAGCCCAGGCGGAGGCGGAGGCGGAGGCAGTGGGGGCCGCAGCTCCGCTCTTTCCACCTAGCTCGGTTTGCACTGAAGGGTTGGGGTAAGTCCCTTCCTCAGCATCTCAAGAGGCTCTGTGGGCAGCCTGGGGAGGCCAAGAATTGAGACACATGGGTTGTGGGTAGAGGCCTTGAGAGTGGATGATTACGAGTGTCTTGGTTATTACCTCCAAAGTAGCCTCTCATCCTGATGCCCAGGGTCAGGACCTCAAATCTCTCGGACCTACATCCAGGGGACAAGGAGGACCCATTCCTGGGCCATCCAAGGGCGCTAACCAGCTCAGGCCCGCTTCAGGGTCTGGGCTGATCCTCCCGCCTGTACAGGGAGTTAGCCCAGGCAATGGAATCCGAGTCAAGGAGGCGCACTGTGCCCACTGTGGGCGCTCGCCATCACCCACAGTCCCCTGCACCAGCTGTCTTTAGTTCGCTACCAGCCTCCCTCCCCAAAAGGGTCGTCACCACACCTGTGTGACTCCACTTCCGGTGGACAACATCGGCCTCTAGGCCCCACCCAGCATCCCGCTGCCTGCTGGGATTTGTAGTTGGTGGTGTCGTGGCTGGCGCATGTGCGTGAGTGTGGGCGTGTGTGTTTGTCTGACTTCGCCAGGCTCCGTTGAGGCAGCATAGATCCTGCTCTGCAGCCCACTGCCTTCTGGGACTTGTAGTTCGCAGCCTTTGTCTCTGGGCAACTGTGGGGCCCAGTCCTGGCTTTCCTGTTTGTGACTCTGGGCAGACTAAAGGACCGGGCTCCAGGTGGGAGAAGCGCTAGGAGGGCACTCTCTGTGAGGGTCCAGGCTTTCTCAAGTAAGGGCTTATCCTGCAGACACTGCCTGGCAAAAATGAATTCAGCCAAGGGTCTGGAGTCTTTTCTGTGATCATCGGTTATCCCGAAATAATGAACAGCCCTGCCCAGGACTGGTTGTACATACAAGTTCATTGTCCTGTAGGATTGAGTGATAAATATTAATTTCACGAATTTGTTAACTACTTCACCAAGGAAGGCTTTAATCACCAAGAAATTGGTGAGACACACTTTGCTGTTGAAGAACCTACCTGCCTCCATATTAGGCTTAAAAGGCATCTTACAGTAAAGACAAACTAGGTTCATTCCTGTTTGTGATTAAATCTGTTTCTCAAGGATTGGGTTATGCCCCACCTGTGATCTTAACTGCAAATGGTTTTGTACTGCCTGCTCCGGGAATGTCAATCATGTCTTTGTTTCAAAAAGTTAATAACCAACTTACAACCCTACTTTTGTCTCAAAAGGGCTTTTATGGCTACCTTATTATTGACTGTCTGGTGTTAGGACCCCCTTGCAGTCATGTCTGTTTCAGGAGGTGGTTATGACTAACTTATTACACCTACGTTCTGCTACTGTAACCCCGCCTATTTTGCTGACCAAATTCCCGATTTGGGAACTCCCTACCCTTGAGCTATAAAAACCTTGTCGTAGGACTGGAGAGATGGCTCAGTGGTTAAAAGCACTAACTGTTCTTCCAGAGGACCTGTGTTCAATTCTCAGCACCCACATGGCAGCTCACAACTGTCTATAATTCCAGTTCCAGGGAATCTGACACATTCATAGCAAGTACATATAAAGTTAAATAAATATTAAAAAAAAACCCTTGTCTCCCTCATATCTAATGCTGACCTCTTGAACCCCGCCTTGCTGGGATGTAGCCCATGTATACAAATAAAAGAGCTTGCTTTAATTAATTGCTTACTTTAATTAATTTGGCCATGATGATTTGGGCCAGTGGTCTTTCTCTTCCCATCTTTGTGATTAGCACTTGTGTGTGTGTATGCATGTGTGTGTGTGCATGTGTGTGTATGCATGTGTGTGTGCATGTGTGTGTGTGCATGTGTGTGTATGTTGTGTGCATTTTGAAGGCCAGAGGTCCACGTTAATGGCTTTCCCTTTGGCTAGCCACCTTTCCAGGTAGGATTTCTTAGTGACATGAGCTCATCAAGTGCAGGGTGACAGGGACGCAATGGCACCAGCTTTATATGTAATTTCTGGAGATTGAACTCAGATCCATCAACATAGTCCCCACAGTTTGCTTTGAGGACCAAATAAATGGGTTTGTGTGGGACTGAGGACATTTAATAAACTGCAAAGCATAGGGTATATGAAGTGTCTACACCAAAATCAGATTGTGGTGTGTATATGACTTGATGCTGATGGGGGTCCTAGGTTGCCAAGAGTGTTTGGGAAGGGGTGTATTATCTGCAGGTAAGGGTCTCTGGTTCCCAAATACATTGTGAGAGAAAAGGAGAGTACACATAGCACACACAATGAGGAGATAATTTGCTAAATTATTCTCTCTGCTTCCGTACCTCTATCCAGCAATGGGATTACAAGGTATCATATCCGAGTGCTTTTAAAACATGGGTTCTGGCTAGTCAGTCGTGGTGCACACCTGGAATCCCAGCATTGGAGAGGCAGGGGCAGGCGGGTCTCTGTGAGTTTGAAGCCAGCCTGGTCTACAGAGTGAGTTACAATACTACACAAAGAAATCCTGTCTCGAAAAACAACAACAACAACAACAAAAATCCAAACCAAGACACCCCCCCCACACACACACACAAAAGACCCACATGGGTTCTGGAGATTAAACTTGGGTCCTCATGCTGACAAAGGGAAGTGCTTTCTTGACTGAGCTATCTCTCCAGCCCTATTTGGGGGCAGGGGGATTTCATATTAGCGTTGTATTCCCTGCAACCTATCAGGGAGGAAAGACTTAGTCTGCACTGTACCTTTGGACTGGAGTCAGAGGAACCAGGAGAGCGTCTACTAAGCTAGCCTTTATGTCACTGATGGGGAATGAAGGCGCACAGAGGGTCACATGTCAGGCTGGGTGTGGTGTTTGTAATCTTAGCACTTGGGAGGCTGAGGCAGGAGGATTACAGTGAGTTTGAGGTCTGTCTGGGCTACAGTAAGACACCTTGTCTCAAAATAACAGACAGCAAACAAGGGAGCTGGAGATATGGCTCAGCAGCTAAGAGCTGCTCCTGCAGAAGATATGGATTGGCGTCCCAGTCCCCCATAGTAACTCACAACTGTCTGTAACTCCAATCCTTGGGGATCTGATGCCCTCTTTTGGCGTCTGCGGGCACCAGGTCCACATGTGGTGCACAGATATATGTGCATATAAAATACCTATTCATGCTGGGCAGTGGTGGCACATGCCTTTAATCCCAGCACTTAGGGGACAGAGGCAAGCAGATATCTGTGAGTTCGAGGCCAGCCTGGTCTACAAGAGCTAGTTCCAGGACAGGCTCCAAAGCTACAGAGAAACCTTGTCTCGAAAAACCAAAATAAATAAATAAATAAATAAATAAATAAATAAATAAATACAAAAAACAAAAACCCCCGCCTATTCATATAGAATCAAAATTTTAAAAAAAGGGAAAGAAAAGAATCTGGAGTGGCAGTACCTACCTGCAACCTCAGCACTTAGGAGGCTGAGGTAGAAGAAGCATCAAGAGTTCAAGGTCATTCTTAGCTATGTAGAGAGTTCACAGCCAACCTGGATTACAGGACACTCTGCCTCAAAAAGGACAAAAACAGGGGAGTGTGCAAAATGGCTCAGTGGGTAAAATGACGAAGACATGATTTGGATCCCTAGAAGCCAGGAAACAGTTGGCTTTGCAGCCCATGTTTGTGACCCCAGTGCTGTGTGAAGAGGCAGACACAGGCAGTTCTAGCAGTTTGCTGGCCAGCCGGTCTAGCCGACATGGAGCTCTGGGTTCTGTAAGACAGGCAGAGGCTGGAGAAATGGCTCAGCGGGTAGGGACATTTGTTACTCTTGCACAGGACCCGAGTTCAGTTTCTAGCACCCAGGTCTTGGCTCACAGCCTCTGTAACTCCAG